GGGGGGCTTCCTTCACAGTGAGATGTAAGTTAAAAAATATTCTGAGAGGACCAAGAGATTTTTTCTTCCAACCGAGTTACATATTTTCAGAGGCGTTTTGAAGTTCAGAAAAGAAGAACGAGAGAACAAGTCACATACATTCTATAAGTTGTCCTCTAGACAGTCGGAAAAGGCTGCGAAAAAAAAATAAGGGTGAATGAGGAAACATTCAAAACTGGTAGACCAAGTCCACAGTATACTTGCGCACCCCGCGTCGCGTAGCTGTTGGCGGCTTGGGTGATCGGATGGGGAAAACAGGGACCGTAAATTAACAAAACCAGAAAGACGAGGGAATGGAAAAGAGAAGGAGAGAGATATTGGCGCGGGAGAGAGGAGAGGGTGGGAGCAGGCCTCATTGACGGGTTATTGAGAGGATCCCGATACTCCATCAGGCTGTCAGTTCTTTGTGAATTAGGGATTACACAGCCAGCGTCATGTGGATTTGGGCGCATCTGCGGGGGATACGAACAATGGCAAGCCCGCCCCGCGAGAGAGAGAAAAAGAGAGCGAGAGAGAGAGGGGCGATCATTTTTCACCTCTGCCCTCGCCGCCGCCGTCCACCTCTCAATGGCCTGGGCGCGGCGATCAGCACAAAGCGAATGTCCGGTGTCCGCGCCGCCGCGGCCAGTCCCGGCCTTTCACAAGTGGGGGTGCGGGCTGGACCGGACGGCAACCGGACGCACCCCCGCGGGTGGATTTTTGAGGTCGCGTCCGCGCATTTTCCTCCCTTCCAGCTCCATGTTTTACCCAATTTAGACATCTTTTGTCGTTGTTTTCTTCCGCATTTTTTTCGTATTTTTTCTACGCAAACCGGTAAATTGTGCGAGTCAACGCTTTTCTCAACTGTATGCAGTACTATGATTACTGAACCCATGGCCAATCATTTGCAGATGGAATTGCACGAGGATGATCTCATAGGAAAGTATTGCGCCCAACACCTGAAACGTTAAGAGCGCACACGGTGAGCGTCAAAAACAATGTCAAACAAAAACTTAACACCCTGATCATAAAAACGAAAAAGGTGGAAAGAACAGAGAGCTAATTTTGTGAGAAGCACAATACAAAACAATTACCGCAGGCAAAAGAGATTTTGTGATTGTCATAATTCCAAGAGCTGTCAATGCAATGCGGTCAGAGCCGATCTGCATGAAGATGCGCGCGACCTAGTGGAACAGAAAAGCAGGCCCAGATTCTAAGGAGCTGTTTTGAACGGCGTACAATAAAATGTATAAATGCCAAATAGTGATAACAGTTTCCGCGCACCTCGTTTCCGCCCCGGCACGGCACCACTCTGTGCAGGCACGCCCTGGTAGCCAGCCACTCGGTGTGCACGGAGGAGGCGGCGAGTATCGTGTAGACGAACCTGGAGGCGGTGACAGTGACCGTCGCGCAGGCGTACCAGCTCTGCACGGAGCCTCTGAACGCAGAGAGCAGAGCAGGGCGTTTATGGGCCCGGTCCTGATCGCGCGTGCACGCTTGCTTTTCCAAGAGCGCTTGCACCGACCGAGGGGGAAACGACTGCTAAACTTTGTGTCAACCGGATTACTGATTACCCGGACTACCTCTGTAGGATTCCTCCGGATTAAGTTGCTTTTACTCTGGGAATACCCCAGACAGACCCCGGATACCCTAAAATTTCCATGGATCACCCCAGATTTTTGTTCGAATTTCCTCGGATGACACCTGCTGGATTACCTAACGGCAGTCAGCCATATTACTTTATTCGTTTCCCCCTCGGCTTGCACTCTCGGGGTTTTACTAACGTCAACAGAAAGAGGATGAACCGGCAAATGTACAGGCCGTCCGCGAAGATGGTCACGAGGAATATGGGGCCCAGGGTGGCGTCCACGGCCAGCGTCAGGCGGCACACCTCGTTGTACAAGACGCGCACGCCCTCCACGGCCTCCGACGGGAGACGGTTGCCACCCTGGTGACGACTCAAAAATTGTTTACACATTCGGCACTACGTACGCACTTCCGCGGCGGCGACTGTGCCTGTTTTGGCCTAAGGCTCACGGAAGCGGATCGAACTGGGCCACTTGACTCCCTATCGGGAGTGCCGGGCGCGCGGACCTGCCACAATGACCTTCACAATGACCTTCACCTGCTCGGCGGCGCTCCGCAGTGTGTCCGTGAGGGCGCGGAAGCACTCGGCCGGCACGCCACTCAGGACGATGAGGAGCATGGCGTTGAAGTCAAACACGCTCGTGAAGCCCAGGCTCAGGATCAACTGGAAGCCTTCGAACAGGCCGCGCACGGGCAGCCTGCGCCACGTGAGTGAGGGCTGCTGCACTGCGGAAGAATCGCAGGACATGACCGAAACTCGGAGCAAAAACAATATGCGGCATCGACACGGCTGACACGCACAGCTCGCGACGAGGGCGAAGACGCAGGAGACGTGTCGGGCGCGCCGGTGCAGCCGCGGCAGGCGGTGCACTTCGGGCGCCCACAGCCGGCTCTCCAGCGCGTTCACGCGCGCCCACAGGCCCGGCCAGCGTCCCGCGACCCGTACCCACAGCAGTACCAGCGCCACGCTCTCCAGGTAGGTGGGCACCGCCGCTGAGGACAGGGGGTCAAAGAGGAAGACGGAGTCGAGAGAAAGTGCATAAACGACACACTGCACAATCTGGTACGCGCTAAAAATGGGTGAGTGCAGACGCATGTACAAAGTTGTTTTTTAGAGGTGGGGCTGGAGGAAACATTCTAAGTCGACGACAACGTGGCTTGGAAGAGAGAAAAGGCATTACACATTTTCTTCTCTAAAACACTCACTCACACTCACATATGAACTTGAAGCGGTTCCTCCTCTTGTCGGGAGTTTGGAAGAACTCCACGGAGTGGATGGCTCCTATGCACAGGACGAAGGCGGAGAAGAGCACGGCGTACGCCGTGTGCCACGACGGCAACCTGGAGGAGAGGGTCAGTCAGTTACGCCTTAAACCCGTCGCCAATAATGCCACCTCGACAGAGAGCGAGTAGTACCTGGTTGCCGTCGACGCCAGACTGAAGAGGCCCATGGAGCAGATTTGTGCGGTGAGGAGCGCCGGTCGGATGGCGGTCCACAACAGCCGTTGGCATGGCGCTGCCGCCGCCTCGGGGTCGTGGTCGAGGGCGGCCATGACGACCACGCACCAGGGCCGACCCCCACCGAGGACGCGCCACGCACGACCGTGCCCTGGCGTGGTGCTCCGGGCCAAGTCGCCCTGCATTTCAAAAAATTAACAAAAAAATACATTTAAAAGAACCGCTGTCACTGAAAAAGGCGAGTGAGAATATTTACTGTTACAGTTACTGGTACTGTAACTAGCAACGGACTGCTGTGTGCTTAACTAAATGCAGGTACAATATTGTCACTTATACTACACATCTAGTGTAGGGGTGTGCGAGACAGTTTCGATTCGATCTCGAAGCAAGTCAATTCGAACTCGAACAATTCAGATGCATGCATGGTCGGTTTGCCAATCTCTTTGTTTTTAGAGAGACCCGAGTGACCCCAACATTGATTGGCTGCCAAATTTCAATGGTTTATAGCATCTCCTAGAATGAAATTATTCGATACGATTCGCAGTCGAAATAGTAAGATTCGATTTGATTCGGGGTAAAATTTTAAGATTCGATTCGATTGATTCGACTCTGAAAAAGGGTGATTCGCAAACCTCTAATTGCTCTAATGTAGTGACCACTTTGTTGCACTATTGCATCTGATCTTAGTTATGCAGACAGAGAGTGATATTTACAGTAACTGTAAACATTTCAAGTGCGGACTCAAACTTGTATCATCTGCGTTCATGATGCATTCCCCGACAGCACTGTTCTCCGGGATTGTTTTTCTTGTTTTCCTTGACAATAAACAAAACGCAATGTCTTTCGATTTGAAATATCGCGGCAGCACCCACTGACTCGCTAGGGAGGCACCGATCGGCCAGCTCGGCGGTCAACACCACAGTGTCCAGTATTGACCCTCAGCGGGCTCAATCGAGCCGAGTAATGACTGAGAGTGCATGGTGACGTGTGGATCAATGGCAATCTTACCTTGGCCTTAAGGGACACACAAAAACTGCGTATCACTTCCTGCCACTCTGGCACTTATCGCTTGTCACTTATAGGCGTGACAGCTATCACTTATCGCCTGTCACGTATCGCTTGTCACTTTATTGTTACAACTGGTGTTACTATCGCTTGTCCCTATTGCAAAGCACGCACGCCACTCGGGCGCTGGCGAAACCACGCAACTCCGCGGAGCCTCTGTCAGCGGTCCGGCGCTGGCGGAACGACGCAACTCGATTTTTGGGGTGATTTTTGAGACCTATACCGTTGGAAAGAGGACGTTTCCCTCTTCCAGAATGTACAGTTATCTCAGATTTTTCGAAAAACATCGATACGTGGCTCCGTGGAGTTGCGTGCTTTGCAATAGGGACAAGCGTACTGTTACTTCACTTCAACTTCAATGAGGGTTAGGACGTCAGTTCACATGAACTTGAATCACCGCGATGGGTCCTAAGAACGTTGTCCGATCTCGCAGTGACGCTTCAACATTGTTTGATCTCGCAGTGACGCTTCAACGTTGTTTGATCTCGCAGTGACGCTTCAACAAAGTCCGATCTCCTTTTGACGTTCTCTGCAGCGCCATCTTCTTTCAATTGCGAGTTGAATAATATTGGCAGTAGAGAAAAAGTAAAA